ACACAACGGGCGGTGGGGTAGCCTAGTGGTTAAAGCGTCCGGGTTCGACTTCCCGAGATATTGCTAAAAGCGGCATAACATCATAGTCAGCTCATTCGCTCGAAATGACAACTCTTGTTATCAAGGTGACAATACTGATTCGTGGTCATAATACTGACTGATGAGGCTGAGCGGTAGATGGAACTCTTGAACAACTGATAGCAGTACAACAGATTCTGTACATCGAAGGTACTCCTTGGTTATGAACCTTTAATCGACCTTGTTGCTAGTCATTACATGATAAAACTGCTCAATAGTGGATAACCCATGTAATCAGAAACGATCGTAGTTCAAAGTAATTAATCATCCATACATATATGTCAACTCAGTCCTTATGCATTCATTGTCACTAACTTATTGTATTTGATTATACAGTAAACTACGTATACAGCAACCTGAATGGGACAATAATTTTAGTTCGTTATAACCGTAGTTCGTTATACGCATATCGACTAATGTAATTTTATGTATACCATTGAGCTTATATGAATGGATCACTGAAAAGTGGTGATGATAATGACAGTTCAAGTCATGATTATTTGCTGTGTGTACGAATTTCAGCATGGAATATTCGCTCTTAGAAAATGGACTTTAAACTCGATTATCCGAGACAGATCACTGAAAATGAGTGATGACACCAGGTGTTCAAGGAAAAACACACCATTAAATCAACTCCTTCGTTCAAGTAACATCACATATTACCCTCCGTGTCATAACTGTTCATTAGGTAACCACTATACCTGGACGTTGTAAGATACAGTAGTAGATTGTGAGTGCATACAATCCACTGCCCAAAATGAAGACAGTCACGTTCAAGTATTAACAGACTGAATCGATGCTGGGCCCAACTGATAGTATTGACGAAATGGATAATTGCTATTTGTATGAATATTGCCTTTCGTCTTGAAGAGACATGTGTCCTTCAAAGAAATACATTCTATTGTATCAGATATTAGTGAGTAGGGTCTCCATGACCTTGCTCCTGGCAGTTTGATGAATATAATACTTGTACGGTCATGGTATGTCAAAAAATGCAAGGTAATCTACAATGGAGAAATGATGTCATTAAACTACCGTAGTACTGTGGCTAAATGGGTAATTATATTGAAACAGTCTTGCATTGTTCTTCAACTAACGCAGTGTCATCTACATGCCCCAGCAGTCGTCCTCGGTGGTGCCATTTCATTTCTTTCTCATTCTCTGTATCCCTTGTAAACATGGTCCTGGTATCTGCTGGATAGCCAATTACCAAACACCCAGCTGTTCATCCTCACACATGTCTTAATTGTCTTAATCAGCTCTTCATGGAGCATTTACAAGTGGTCCTGAGATTGTTCTTCCTCGTGCTCTTTATCCGTAGTATTATATCCAATGCTCTCCTGATGCTAGATTCAGTACCTAGATACAACCATGATTTGTTTCCGTCTGGGCACATTCCTGTTGACAGAAGCGAGAAATATAAAGTTTACTGGTAATAATTAATACACAAAATATCAACAATACACGTGACAACCTTTACACATAATAGAAAAGGTCTCACTATCCCGATCAATTTACTCGCCTCTAACCACAAACAACATTCATTCGTGACTATCATTTCGAACCCTGATCTTCAGAGTAAGCCCAATTCAAAGCCTCTGAAGGCCATGTATGATGTGCTGGGAAATCATTCTACCTGGATCCCATTTGGGCCATCCATTAAGTCGCCCCTTACCACAAGCAGGGGACCTGTTCTGACTCTGACCGGGTGGCCGCGGCTTTAAACAACATTCAGTCACTGAAGCCTTTACCTGCAATAGTACACCGGACAGGGGCAGAAGACCCTGAGAAGGAATTCCCTGGTGATGCCGCGCTGGTAGGTGGAGGGGATAACCAAGTACCGGCCTGGCTTCAACCTGTATCGGAACGTGCACTGCAGGCGGGGGTAATAACAATCCTTGGCTTCAGTGTCTCTCATCCTGGCCACGTAGAGCATCCTGGACTTTTCACTGCCCCTCACCACCTGGTGTAAATATAAGCGACAAACTATTTCCATAATTATGAGAAATCTGTACTAAAAGTTGAGTCCTTTGTATGATTCTGACTGTAGCATCAGCATGTGTTTATGAATATGTGACAGTGAGGTGGCACCCCTCACAAACACATGCAAAGGCAAGTCAATTGTTTACCTGAAAATAGATGGAACAAATTGAAATTGAGAAATGCATAACTGTATCTATGTCTATTCTGTGATTCTTCTCTTGGTTTTCTCAAAGAGCCTTTTCAAGGAAACAGTCTTTGAAAAATGTATGAACGAGAACGTTTCGAGACAATGACGCTTCCTGACTCACCTTGTATAAGTCACAGCGTATAGATTCATAATCCAGGTGGTGAGCCTTCTGTATTATCTGCACAACGATAGGAACATATCCATCCTCTGTTAAACCTGACAACGAAAGTCCAGCTTTCAGAAAATATCATCAACGAGCTGAGTGAATGAATGATACCATGAATACCATTCTTATTTGGTCTGAAACTAATATATATTCAGGATTAATTTACGAGGTGCCAATCAGACTTATGAACAATGACATCATTCTTTCACAATTTGACAATAGAACCAACCTTCTTCTGGAACTGTAAATGCAAACCGGGGGTTCCTGACTCGAGCCCTTAAGGTGCCCCCCTTGGCCCACTCCTCCTCGCCACTCCCCGAATATCCTCAGTACATGATCTGTTGCAGAATAATGGCAGACATGTCCCAGAAGAACAACTATAACCTATATACAGTACCGGACAAAAGAAAGTATACAGACACATTTGAGGTTGACTAAAACGTAAACTAACACGAAATGGTGATTCGATGTCTTGTATTTCATTCGGGTAGTTTACATACCGGCAAATATTTCAGCCTCACGTTTAAACGATTTAAATTGTTTGAAAGATCCAGTTTCCAAGTGTACATAACAGTTGTACAACTTTAAGCGCTGATAAGGTACACATGGGAATCGAAAACGGTGTTAATTTGGAGGTACAACTATATTTTCTGCCATGGTTTACCAAAGTTTGCAATTTCATAGTAGACCATCATTCAATATTAATCATTTTTACCAAATTGAATGCATTTATGAATGGTGGTCTTTATCAAATAAAACGACACTTTTGTTATCACATACTATATAGATTACTCACTGAGACCATCTGATCTTCCATCAATGTCAAAATCTGGAGTCAGCGAGCAAATTGTAGTTTGGTCAAAATAATGGAGAAAGTCTTCCAAGTTTATCCAGAACTCTCCGTCGTTTTTGTTTCTTTGTATTTGGATTCCCTCGGACAATTCCCCCCACTCTCTGCTCCTGAAAAAAACATTTTGTAAAGAAAAACTTAAACTTCTTCCGACAGAAACACCACTTCCAACAGAACACTAAACACAGTCAACGTCAGAAGCTTCCGGTCTCAACCATCCGCATGAACATTGTCCAATGGGCGTCCACAGTGATGGAAATGATATGACTGGATCATTGAAGCTCAGCCATCTTGAAATATATCCATGTAGGTGTGGTGTGGTGGGGAAGCCTCGTGGTTTAAGCGTTCGCTTGTCAGGCGAAAGACCCGAGTTAGATCCCCCCATGGGTATACTTGTCGTAAGAGGCGACTTACGTGATCGGTTGGTCAGGCTCGCTGATTTGGCTGACACATGCCATCGTATCCCAGTTGTGTAGATTGATACTCATGCTGTTAATCACTGGATTGCCTGGTCCAGACTCGATTATTTACAGACCGCCGCCATATAGCTGGAATATCGCTAAGTGTGGCGTAAAACTGAACTCACGCACTCACTCCCACTCCCACATGGGTACAATGTGTAAAGGCACTTCTACTGTCTCCCGCCGTAATATTGTCCGATTTTATATTGTTTTTGTTGTATTACGCATTTTAAAATGATCTCAAACTAGATTCAATTTTAATCTGTGATAATCTAGTTGTCCTTTGACGACAGCATTTAAAAAGTATAATTATATGTATTCTCAGTATACTTGTATACCTATTTATCGTCACGAATTTGCCGTACGATATAAAATGTTAACTCACTCACTACATATACGTATTTAAAGGTGACCTATCTCCAGGAAGTAACAGAGTCACTAACCTATCGCTCCACTTCCCCTGCCATTCGTGTGTACCATGAGGATTGCGTATCCTCACTAAGGGAACCTTCTCTCCGTCACTTCTGGTCACCTTGAACATAACTTGAATGACAGACCTCGGACAAGATACATATACATAACACGACGGTAGTGAGCGGCTATATCACTGTTGCGCCCAAAAATGACTCAATAGAATTTCGGCTAGGAATCCATCTTGGATTTAGTTTCGTGCACGTGAGTATATCAAATCGCACTCGTCTACATAAACTGGTTCACTCATGAAAATTGTATAACTTTAACTGTGTTCGTTCGCCTATCTTCTTTTCAGTGTGTTTAACCTGGAGCCTAAGTAGACTTAGCCTCAGTGTTATTCGTTACACTGATATACTGAGACTCAGTATACACATAGCAGTATAGCGAATAGTACTGAGCCTCAGCTAACTTAGACTGGTTTAACATGATAATGTTAAGAACAGAAATATCTTTGTCCAAAATGGACGCCATGTCATACAAGCTCTGACGTTGCTATTTACAGTGATTTCATGCAATGTCCGCAGCGGAGTAGCCGGAGTTGACCCAACTCACCGACACTGGTCAGTGTTGAAGTCTCACAAATAATGGACAACCAAATGGCCCCCGATAAGGGAGTTAAAGCCACAGACTTGGCTTGATGGAACAATGCTATCCTAAGGTCTTTCAGCATGACATTGATGGAAAATGAGTCTCAACATTGAAATGAAATAGGTACGCATATCCTCAAACGATGTTTAAACTTACCACATAGGCTCCTGTCAAGGAATAGGCATGTCCTCCCACCAGCCCCACCTTGCCATCGAACTTGGACTGCAATATACAAGATTGAAATATTGCATCCAGTGAATTGGATATATATATTATTTTCCAGTTTTCGTCGCCACAGCGCTATTCAAAGCTGGTGATGAAAACTGGGAAATATTTAAGGAACGCTTGAATTTTCCTATGATCCTTTATTTGTTTCTCTCAGTATATGTCGTAAAACTCTATGACGGAGTGAGAGTGAGTGTCGAAGCGTCTCTTCCAACAGTAATAATTATTATATTACGTCTGTTTAATGCTGCAGGGTGCCAGAGGGGGTGGTCTTAGAATTAGAACTTTGATGAAATTACTGTGACTGAATACGTGACACGTGTTTATGGATAGCAACTTTTTTTTATTCATCAAAAACGTGTCATGTATTGATGTTCGTCCCACTTTTAAATGCCCGTCAAGAACTTCATACTGGGACTGATCTGATAAACCTAGACACATGATCAGGGTGAATTTGGATTCGAACCCACATGGATTCCTGATTAAGATACCTCCCTGGGAACCTATGCTTGTGTATCTGTATCCTGATGGGAGACATACATCGCATGGACCACTCAACTGGCTCACTGACACGAAACACCTGATAGTGTTAAACCATTTACAGATAACTATAACGAAACATGTCGGAGATCGAATTCTAGCTCCGTGATTGGCTACTCCATGGTGATGACCTAAAGTGCATGTGTCAACATGTACAATTGGGCAACTGCGTCCCATGCAGGACTTTGAAGCTGAGATATAAAATGGGCGCGAGAGACTTACCGGAACTGCACAAGTGACCAAAGCGCCCGTACGAAGGGCGTTCCTGAGACGACGGAACAGCTCGGTAGGGTCAGGATCATCGTAGTTAAAGCTGACTCTCTCTGCCACGCCACCTGTCAGGGTGATGTAGGCGTCGCTAGGGTAACCACCCTCATCGCTCACCACGTTGTACGAACCATGCAGCCTATAAAACAGATGCAGTTCAGAGCACAGATGCAGATGGTTTGTTGGACAACAATACCATCTTAAATCCCACCCGCATATTGTAATGCGCGTTTCGTTTTTGTTTAAACGGTTCAATATGAATCCATCAAAGATCTAAATGTTAGGCTGGCGGGGTAGCCTAGTGGTAAATGTGTTCGCTCGTCACGCCGAAGACCTGGGTTCGATTCCCCACATGGGTACAATGTGTGAAGCCCATTTCTGGTGTCCCCCGCCGTGATATCGCTGGAATATTGCTAAAAGCAGCGTAAAACCAAACTCACTCACTCACTCACTAAATGTTCAAGTTTCTATTTGTCGTTCGGCGCAGAAACAGAAATTCCAACTTTATCAGTGCCTCACTCAGCAATATTCCAACTATATGGGATACGATGGCAGGTGTCAACCAAGTGAGTGATCCTGACCACCCGATCCCGTTAGTCACCTCTTACGACAAGCATGGGTTAGTGGATATCAAATCTTCACGGGTAAATGCAGCTTGTAAATAACTGAGTCTGGGATGAAAAAAAGACAGTGATTGACATAATTAGCAAAGATCTACATCATGGGGTAAGATCACTGATCACGGAATTCATTTCAGTGACATCTTACGACATACAGCTATGAGTTCGAACCCCGATCCGAAACAGGAAAACAATAAATATTTACTGCAAATTAGACCCATATTATACTAAAACGTCTTCGTGAAGGACAGGTAACCTATTCTAATCCTGGTAAAACGCTAATAAAAAATTACGGCACTACGTGTGGGGCAATGGCTGGGTTACCTGGCCAGTGCCTTCTCCAGTAGTGAGACCCACATCTCGTTGGTGTCCGTCCCAGATAGTGCTCCGTACAAGCACCTGCTGCCGGCAAACACGGGGAGGTAGTCGTCCATGTACACGTCCTCCCACTCCCCGAACCTCCACAGTCGACAGTGACAGATCCCGTCAGTTCTTGGAGTGTACGAATCCTCGTTGATCACCTGAATTATTGCATGAAGCAGTTCCATATTTATAAGTGTCGTGATAATTAAATATATGACTTATCCATTGCCACATAATGTTTTGTCATGTGGCTTGGCCATTTCATTCACTCTAACTCTATATCCAGTAACCTAGTGGATGAAGCGTTCGCTCGTTACGACAAAGATCCGGGTTCGATTCCCCACATGGGTACAACCTGTGAAGCCCATTCCTAGTGTCCATGGCCGTGATATTGTGGTAATATTAATAAAAGTGGCGTAAAACTAAACTCACTCACTCACTCACAGTCTCCAATCTTCACGAAGGCCGTAGAAGAACTAACAGTAAAATGCCGGGATCAGATTGACCACCCAGTCCTGTCAGACACTCGAATTCCACTGACGTCAAATATTTGGACCACATTTCAGCGTAGCAATAGATGTGTATTGTAACGTGTTGACGACAACATTAAATGACTCATGGTGATAGGTTACCTTCCTACAGAGGTCAGGCTTGTCACCAAGGTTTGCCATCATGGACAGGAACCAACACGTTCCAAAGCTCCGTTGTTTGATGTCGAATCTTGAAGTCCCATCAGCAAAGAGAACGGGATTACGAACGATTTCCTATAAAATATCACAATAGAATTAATAAGAAAATCGGGATAGAGAGCATAATGCTCTCGCCGTATCTAGCATTAGTAACAATTATGACGTTGTTGAATTGGTGGGATTATTCATTTGTTGCAATTATCCAGCTATATCATCGCGGTCTACAAATAATCGAGTCTGGACCAGACAATCCAGTGATTGACATCATGAGCATCGATCTATGCAGTGGGGATACGATGACATGCATCCACCACGTCATCGAGCCTGACTGCCATATCCCGTTAGTCGTGTCTTACGACAAGTATGGGTTGCTGACGGTGTTTACGGGTCGATAATGATTGGAACACAAAATTACATCGAAACAGTCCTTTAATGTGTGACACATGAGCTTCATATATAAAGACAATTCAGTAGTGTGATGTATACCATTCAGTCGCTGTAACTCGATACTCGGGCAAGTAATATAGAAAGATACAAAATTCGATATCAAATAAGATTTGGTATCAAATAGAAATGTATGGCTGAACAACAGTTTAGATAAGATAACTACCCATCATGCCCTTAAAGTCTCTGAAGCGTACGTATAATCACTATAGTGATTCATGTACACATCCTCAGTCACATCCTCGATAATCTCCAGGGTATACGTTACGATCAATCTCCACTATACCCTGGATGCATCCACGGCTTGGCCCGATGATTTGTATTACCTCCCTTTGCTGGCTTTTTTGTCCAATCAGGTGTCTACGCTGGGAAGTTGAGCGAACCAGTCACAAATCACTTTCGCTTCTTAAATTATCTAACCGTTTAAACTTGGCAACATAATTGATGCAGAGGTACTCTGAAAGAGGTGGAAGGAGTTCTTTTATATATATTTTGAAAGTTTCAGATCTGTCAATTTGTCTTTATTATTTCCTAAACAATCTGAGTGGCACTGTGAACAAACCTTCGCGGCTGCGGCCGCTATCTCTTTTTGACATTGGCAAGCTCGGATGTAACGGCGGCTTAGCTGATTGGATACTGTGAGAATGCGGAGCCAGCAAAGGGAGGTAATATAATTATCGGGCCAAGCCGTGGATGCATCCAGGGTATAGTGGAGAGTGATCGTAACCTATACCCTGGGGATTATCGAGGATGGCTCAGTCATCGTATCTCATGATGTCCGTCACTTGATTAGCTGGTCTAGACCGCCGCCTTACAGCTGTAATATTGCTTAGTGAGGTGTTAAACAAACAAGCAAACAAACACATGCTCGGCTTCGCTTTTAGCAGAGACTTCTTATGGATGTGACTTGTCGCTTCTATTTTCAAGATGCGTCTGGAACAGATGTCTTATTATTACGGCAGAATGTTTCATGTGTGTGCTTGAATTCAAGGCATCTCAATAACTTTACTTAATATTTGTTCATACACAGACATGTATACGACACATCCCACGTTAACGCACACAACAGAAATACACTCGGAACAAGGTGATACAGCATGCATATCCCATTCAACTATCCGTAAGTGCCCCATAACGTATCATCCCAAGGAAATTGAGTATCTTCAGAGTAAAATAGAGAAATGTCTGAACAATGGTGTATGCCATTGCCCACCTTTATCGTACAGTCTGCAGAATACCAGATTTTAAAGATGGGAATTGTTGTTACCCTGGCTGGGCAGAAATAGAAGGCATTATGATCTGCTGTTTAATCCCAATCACGTCACATCATTTGGTTTTTATTCTGGGCTTACAAAAAGGAAAATTTACGATAACAAAATAAGTCCCAAATATCTCAGATGTTGCAGCTGCGGTTGCATTGTAATAGGAAATTTGGAAAGTCACCATCATAGTTCACTGTCACTCTCAACCTTTGAGCAAACACGAAAGAGATGAGGCGGTAACTGTGGTGGTAAAACTGAATATCTTCAACAATTAAACCAATGCCTGAATAAAACAAGACATTTTTCATGCTTAAAAGAAAAGTCGATTGCACGATTCCGATTGCCGCATGCACGTGTTTCTGAAACACTATCAAGAAGAAGTGACACCAGGTGTTCACAAAAAGGCTAGCGTGCCCTTCCCCGCCAGTGAAACCCGTCACAAACACATGCAAAGCCAAGTCAATCCAAAACTAAACGCTTAAAAGATAACCTAATTACTATACCATGTTATTAGTACCTGCGGTCTCTTCCAATCCAGTTTTAGCTTCTCGTATTCTTTTATTGCTATTGGGAGAGTAAAGTCCATGTCTGTCCACATCTGACCAGGGGGGACTTCGGGACGGCGTGGCTTGACGTCATTTGACCCCGATGACGTTCTGAAGTCCACCGTGTAGTGCTTTAGGTTCAAGTTCTGAGGGTCGTCTGTGTACTGCTCTTTTGCGTCCTGATCAAAGTCGTCCTCCCAGGCTTCTTCATCGTTGATGTCGTGGAAATAGTCGTCGTCGTACTTTGAGGAGGTACACCCCATCGTATGTTGTAACTTCAAAAATAAGGAATGTAAATGTTCAGTATTGGAACTTAACTCATAGAATGACATCACAGTTTCTCATAAACATAATCCAACTGATATTGTTGTTGTAGTTGTTGTTTTTGTTGTTTTCAGCTGGTCTGGCGCTTAACGCCTCACCTGTATGAACGCAGCTGCTAAAGGTTGTTAAATGTTCAGTATTGGAGCTTTTCTTAACTTATAGAATGACATCACACTGTCTCATAAACATAATCCAACTGATATTGTTGTTGTTGTTGTTGTTGTTGTTGTTGTTTATAGGGTTAAAGGTGCTTAACGCCTCACATGTACGATCGCGGTTTGTAAATATAGTGAGCTACGGTCCACATGTTTGAGGTAAGAAGATTCTCCAAGTCACCGAGCCTATACACACAGGTCTTTATAGTCGCCTATAATCATTGGACCTTACAGTTAGAACATACGGAGTCTCTAAACCGGATCACTATTACATCCGCCTCCACAAACAATAGCGTCATGGCGTACTAGGAGTCTATTCTTGTCGCCTGTTAAAAACGGCCCATTGTTGTGTGTATGGGGCCCTGATCAACCACACGATATCCCGGTCTTTTTAACGTCCTTATTCCCGGGATGGGCTCGACTCGGCTGTTGAGCTGGCAACAGCTAGGCTTTAGGTGCTGGTGCACTAGGCTGGTCTTGTCACCTTGCCTGTAGATCGGTTTGTTCAGTTACACTATTGATCTATTTGGGGTGTTCCTCTTTTGCAAGTTGTTTATTTAGGGGTTAAGCGGATCACCAGACCATGTTAATTAGAAAGACAATGTATGCTGAACATAAAAATCCATTCTGGCATGGTTATGGACATCTCTGTAGCTTGTGATCAAGTCGTCCCTGGTGTTAATCGTCTCTCCACTAGGAGGATGTCTCCAATGTGTTGTGTCACGCTTGCTAGTCTTAATTCGAAACTTATATCTCTGAAACACTAAAGTTCTACCACCTCTGCCATTTGGAACAAACTGAACGTTTACCAAAGCATTTAGTATTTATACGGCTTTAGACGCTATAGTTGGGCACATCAGAACAGAATTCACCCTTTCAATTTCTCATTCTCTTCCACTGTGACTCTAGCGATTGACAAGACCGTATGATGTTTGAGACTACCATAAAACGTTCGACAGGGTTCATAACGATACCGCAAAGATGCCGAGCGAGGGAAATAATGTCTTCAATAATACTGTCGTATTAAAGGTGGAGGAACATACGCCACAGGGGCAGTGGGTAGCCTAGTGGTCAAAGCGTTCGCCGAAGACCCGGTGTAACAGGCCAGAGTATACCCCTGTCCCAGACTATACCCGGGGTTAAACTGGGCTAGCCCAGACTATACCCCAGGTATAATCTGGGCTAGCCTAGTTTATACCCCGGGGTATATTCTGAACTAGGCCATAGTATCACACACACACTACACACACACACACACACACACACACACACACACACACACACACACACACACACACACACACACACACACACACACACACACACCAGGCCCAGATTATACCCCTACAGAAAACAAGTGATTAAGGATACTACTATAATTTTATTGTACTTCTCACACAATTAAACACTGGTTACAACATTGAAATGGTCCGATACATTTTCCAGATACAAAGCATAATCAGTGTGAGTTTTCAAGCTGAAGCTGGCAGGGTACATCAGCCATTGCATTGACTGACCAACTGCACTGTAAATATAAATGTCACATTTTAACAGACTGGCTGTTGACATAACTTCTGCATCTGTTGCCCACACTCCATCTCGTGAAATTCCCGAATCTGTGATGTACTCATTGACATTTTGGTTCAGGAAATGTTTTAGTTTGTAGCATGTGGTTTAATCTTTCTCATTTCACATTTGATTGGTTTAACACTTGTCAAAATGTTTTGTTTAATTTTTTTAACTTATATGTTTTCTCTCTAAAAGTCAAACTAATTTATGTCACAACAAGAAGGTAGGTATAAAATAATTCCACAAACACCTTGATGATCTCCATAGACCATCAAATTTCCCAAAACAATAATAGAATAATTCCACTTTTTACCATCTTAAAATTGTTATAAATATGTATATATGTTTTTTTAAACTTTTCAAATCAGTTTTCTCTCAAATTTTCTATTTTTGTTCCACACCTCATTTCTTAATAAGTGTAATTCCCCGTCGCCGAAATACCTTAGTTAAAGCAGATAAAGCAGATAACTAACTACTAACCTTGATGATATATCAGCATGGCTGGGTTACGCAAAGTCGAAAATATCACATCGCAGAGAGGCACTAAACAAATGCTTCATGAATTTTGTATTATGCAGTAATGTAAATAAAATGCACGTACAAATTCCTTTAAATGACACCAAGACCATTGCCCTGAGTCACACACTCATATTGAGTGAATTGTCAACATAATTTTTTAAGGGGTATTGTCTGGGTTGGAGGGGTATACTTTGGCCTGGTCCAGAATATACCCCCTGGATACAAACTGGGCTAGCCCATAGTTTACCCCGGGGTATAATCTGGTGGGGGGTATTCTGGGCTGCTACACCGGGGTCGATTCCTCACATGGGTACAATGTGTGAAGCCCATTTCTATCTCCCGCCGTGACATTGTTTGAATATTGCTAAAAAAGGCGTAAAACTAAACTCACTCACTCACTCACTTACCTACTCCACAATGCTGACGTAATGACGTGTTTCTGTTTCACCGACACTGCTAACACTGTGGCATTATGGAAATATCAACATGTAAAATGTCATTTATAAACTTCTAATTAGCATATCGACATGCAACCTGTTAGTTATTAATGATAGACGTAGCAATATCAACATACTACATGCTTGCTACTCATAATACGCCACTACATTATCGATATGCAACGTGTTATTTTAAATACTTACATGTACGTTGCTCCGTGTATTACAAAGTTCCCATAATGTGAAATGATCTATCCATAAAATGATCGTATCTTCACTGTTCACATCCCGTGATTCAAATACGTTTTATGTATCCATGATATAATGTTCAAACCTCACAGGTCTGGATAGTTCAAAACCCACAAACATGACCTTACAATTTTCCAAGTGCTCTGGATATATTGTTATTTTTGCACAAATAGCCCGAGGGTAAGTAATTTCTTATTCATTTCTGCGTGATGTCAAGCGTCAGTGCTTGACGAGAAAGACAGAAAGAAGAAACACTTTACAGCATATATATTGTCAATATATGATCAAGTGTGTGTTCAAATGTAAGACGCTGTGTTGGAAAGAATTCATGCATGTCGTTACATTCATGTCAACAACTGCTACTTCTTTCAAATGATCACAACGACAGTTTTCTTAACGTCAATGGTGCACATTGTGAAAATGTGAGTAAGGGTCTACTGCCGATGTGACAACACGGTCATTTCTATGAAGTCTTTAGATAGTGAGGCAGATAAATGATGTTTTTTCCACGAGAAACCCGACTGCCTTGGAGTAATAGCCAGAATGTTTGCGGCAAACTCAGTCGATCAGTCTTTACGTGGTCGGAAGAATACAGGTGTGTATTATGGTCAGTGAATCTGTACTGTACACGGTAAGTAGGTTATAGAGTAAAACGGTGTTCGCGTTACCGCAGAAACCTGCGTTTTTCACGCCCAACATCATAAAAACACGCAAAACATATTTTTCGTGCGTGTTCTGCACGCACAGATTCTGATTTACAGTTTATATTGTTATTGACAATACTGTGTAATTAGACATTTCTGTCTAAACTGAATATAATTGGCATTCAAATAGATAATAAGAATTGTCACAAACATTACACAAGAATATATTTAATACATACACGGATTACATAACAATAACATCATATTATTAAAATTATCCATAGAAGTCGTTTATGTCTTAGCAGTCGACATCATTAGTAGTCATAGGTTATAATTAAAATTATTTGTTATGATAATGATGTCATTGTAATGACAATTTCACACGCATATATATAATTTTATTTCTGCATGCACTGGTACAAAATCTACCGCGAACACTGAGTAAAATATTTGGGCAATAGATATAATCAAAGACAAAGCTTTTTACATGGAATATTTTCTTTGGTACTCTTCTGAATGAAGTGAGTGGTGGGGTAGCAGAGTGGTTAAAGCGTTCGCTCGTCACGCCAAGGACCCGGTTTGATTCCCCACACGGGTACCATGTGTGAAGCCCATTTCTGGTGACCCCCGCCATGACAGCGCTGGAATATTGCTAAACTCCGAATGAAGTTTTAGGTTTAAATCAGAGAAAGAGAGTGTTAAAATGAATATTAGATATTAGAATTAGCAAGAAACACCTTCGTTTCATCGTTCTGGAACAAGTTCGACATGCCACGACTCGGGAAAATGACAGGTGGAGGGCTGTATGTATGCTTCAGTCAGGTGCGTCTCTGCGTGACGTTACCTGGCCCTTCAACGCCCGTAGAAGCACCATTTGGCCAATATGGCGACGTTTTCAGCAAAACAATCAATTTATAGACCGCCCCTGTAGTGGTCACCCGCAAGCAGTGGTCACCCCAAACCCCCATCCCCACCCACGTCAAGACCGATAAGAACAGTCCGACGGCGTACCCACGTTCTCAGCATCTGAGCAGGATGCTCAATTCTGAAGCCAGAATATCGAATTCGACGTTTTAAAAATGAAGTAGATAAGTCTTGAGATGGGAAGCACACTTCAATTATGGGTCATGCTTCATTCTTTACCGAGCTGACGACAGGAATCTTATCCCCCTTCAAGGTGTACCCTGATCCCCCATCACAGGTGTACCCTGATCCCTCATCACAGGTGTACCCTGATTCCTCATCACAGGTGTACCCTGATCCCTCATCACAGGTGTACCCTGATCCTCATCACAGGTGTACCCTGATCCCTCATCACAGGTGTACCTGATCCCTCATCACAGGTGAACCCTGATCCCTCATCACAGGTGTACCCTGATCCCTCATCACAGGTGTACCCTGATCCCTCATCACAGGTGTACCCTGATCCCTCATCACAGGTGTACCCTGATCCCTCATCACAGGTGTACCCTGATCCCTCATCACAGGTGTACCTGATCCCTCATCACAGGTGTACCCTGATCCTCATCACACAGTGTGAATCTGATCAATCATCACAGGTGTACCCTGATCCCTCATCACAGGTGTACCCTGATCCCTCATCACAGGTGTACCCTGATCCCTCATCACAGGTGTACCCTGATCCCTCATCACAGGTGTACCCTGATCCCTCATCACAGGTGTACCCTGATCCCTCATCACAGGTGTACCCTGATCCCTCATCACAGGTGTAGGTGATCCCTCATCACACAGGTGTACCCCTGATGATCCCTCATCACAGGTGTACCCTGATCCCCCATCACAGGTGTACCCTGATCCCTCATCACAGGTGTACCCTGATCCCTCATCACAGGTGTACCCTGATCCCTCATCACAGGTGTACCCTGATCCCTCATCACAGGTGTACCCTGATCCCTCATCACAGGTGTACCCTGATTCCTCATCACAGGTGTACCCTGATCCCTCATCACAGGTGTACCCTGATCCCTCATCACAGGTGTACCCTGATCCCTCATCACAGGTGAACCCTGATCCCTCATCACAGGTGTACCCTGATCCCTCATCACAGGTGAACCCTGATCCCTCATCACAGGTGTGACCCTGATTCCTCATCACAGGTGTACTGCCCTGATCCCCTCATCACAGGTGTACCCTGATCCCTCATCACAGGTGAACCCTGATCCCTCATCACAGGTGAACCCTGATTCATCCTCATCACAGGTGAACCCTGATCCCTCATCACAGGTGTACCCTGATCCTCATCACAGGTGTACCCTGATCCCTCATCACAGGTGTACCCTGATCCCTCATCACAGGTGTACCCTGATCCCTCATCACAGGTGTACCCGGATCCCTCATCACAGGTGTACCCTGATCCCTCATCACAGGTGAACCCTGATCCCTCATCACAGGTGTACCCTGATCCCTCATCACAGGTGTACCCTGATCCCTCATCACAGGTGAACCCTGATCCCTCATCACAGGTGTACCCTGATCCCTCATCACAGGTGAACCCTGATCCCTCATCACAGGTGTACCCTGATCCCTCATCACAGGTGAACCCTGATCCCTCATCACAGGTGTACCCTGGTCCCTCATCATCACAGGTGTACCCTGATCCCTCATCACAGGTGTACCCTGATCCCTCATCACAGGTGAACCCTGATCCCCATCACAGGTGTACCCTGATCCCTCATCACAGGTGTACCCTGATCCCTCATCACAGGTGTACCCTGATCCCTCATCACAGGTGTACCCTGATCCCTCATCACAGGTGTACCCTGATCCCTCATCACAGGTGTACCCTGATCCCTCATCACAGGTGTACCCTGATCCCTCATCACAGGTGTACCCTGATCCCTCATCACAGGTGTACCCTGATCCCTCATCACAGGTGTACCCTGATCCCTCATCACAGGTGTACCCTGATCCCTCATCACAGGTGTACCCTGATCCCCATCATCACAGGGTGTACCCTGATCCCTCATCACAGGTGTACCCTGATCCCTCATCACAGGTGTACCCTGATCCCTCATCACAGGTGTACCCTGATCCCTCATCACAGGTGAACCCTGATCCCTCATCACAGGTGTACCCTGATTCCTCATCACAGGTGAACCCTGATCCCTCATCACAGGTGTACCCTGATCCCTCATCACAGGTGAACCCTGATCCCTCATCACAGGTGTACCCTGATCCCTCATCACAGGTGAACCCTGATCCCTCATCACAGGTGTACCCTGATACCTCATCACAGGTGTACCCTGATTCCTCATCACAGGTGTACCCTGATCCCTCATCACAGGTGTACCCTGATCCCTCATCACAGGTGTATACCCTGATCCCTCATCACAGGTGAACCCTGATTCCTCATCACAAGTGAACCCTGATCCCTCATCAGAGGTGTACCTGATCCCTCATCACAGGTGTACCCTGATCCCTCATCACAGGTGTACCCTGATCCCTCATCACAGGTGTACCCTGATCCCTCACACACATCACGTGTACCCTGATCCCTCATCACAGGTGTACCTGATCCCTCATCACAGGTGAACCCATCACAGGTGAACCCTGATCCTCATCACAGGTGTGTATCCCTCATCACAGGTGTGGACCCTGATCATCACAGGTGTGTGATCCCTCATCACAGGTGTACCCTGATCCCTCATCACAGGTGTACCCTGATCCCTCATCACAGGTGTACCCTGATCCCTCATCACAGGTGTACCCTGATCCCTCATCATCACAGGTGTACCCTGATCCCTCATCACAGGTGTACCCTGATCCCTCATCACAGGTGTACCCTGATCCTCATCACAGGTGTACCCTGATCCCTCATCACAGGTGTACCCTGATCCCTCATCACAGGTGTGATCCCTGATCCCTCATCACAGGTGAACCCTGATCCCTCATCACAGGTGTACCCTGATCCCTCATCACAGGTGTACCCTGATCCCTCATCACAGGTGTACCCTGATCCCTCATCACAGGTGTACCCTGATCCCTCATCACAGGTGTACCCTGATCCCTCATCACAGGTGTACCCTGATCCTCATCACAGGTGTACCCTGATCCCTCATCACAGGTGTACCCTGATCCCTCATCACAGGTGTACCCTGATCCCTCATCACAGGTGTGTACCCTGATCCCTCATCACAGGTGTACCCTGATCCCTCATCACAGGTGTACCCTGATCCCAGGTCATCCCTCATCAGGTGTACCCTGATTCCTCATCACAGGTGAACCCTGATCCCTCATCACAGGTGTACCCTGATTCCTCATCACAGGTGAACCCTGATCCCTCATCACAGGTGTACCCTGATTCCTCATCACAGGTGAACCCTGATCCCCATCACAGGTGTACCCTGATCCCTCATCACAGGTGAACCCTGATCCCTCATCACAGGTGTACCCTGATCCCTCATCACAGGTGTACCCTAATGCCAAATCTAAATACTAACTAAGAGAGCTGTAAAGATGCCGGTTGGAACTGATCTTCAGTAACCCACGGGATCGGGTGGTCAGGCTCGCTGACTTGGTTGACACGTGTTTTTGTATCCCAATTGCTTAGATCGATGCTCATGATGTTGATCACTGGATTGCTTTGTCCAGAATCAATTATGTACAGACAGCCGCCATATAGCTGGAATATTGCTGAGTGCGGAGTTAAACCAACGAACTACCTAAGATGAAAAAATACATTCTCTGTACACACCACTTTCTCTTATCAACATCCAGATTCTAATCTGTCATTTACAGGTCAAACATGCTTGTGTCATGACATATCATGATATCAGTATTTACCGTACTGATATCCCCGTGTGTGATCTGGATATGTCGGCTACACGGGGTTCTCCTTCCAAACAGTCAACACTTATACGAGAATAGTCAGCGTACACAATGCATAGGTTAGTAAAAGGTACACTCAATCCATGAACTATAGTTGTTTTAGTTGTTTTAGTTATACAGTATTCCATGACAAACACTACTGGTGTAGTTACAAGCTATAGTTAACAACGTTACTTACCTTCCAGCGATTGAACAGTCGGGGCAGGAACTACCGGAAAATACGCTCTGAATACCCGTGTAATGTGCATTATGATTACAGCGAATTTATGTCATCGTCTTATCGCTCTGTGCAAATAATACCGCAACCAACGCATGTCAAGGCCACTTGGCCTCTTGATTGTCGAACCCATATCGACTTACAGGTGTTTTAAAGGTCTGTGGTGGTGGTGGAATTGGGTTTAACGTCGTGCTTGAGAATATTTCGCTCATATGACGACGTGCATGCGTGTGTAAGGTCTGTGTTATCGTCAAAATTCTAGAGTGAGTGAGTATGGTTTTACGCCATTTTTAGCAATATTCCAGCAATATCGCGGCGGGGACACCGGTAATGGGCTTCACACATTGTACCCATGTGGGGAAATCGAACCCGGCTCTTCAGCGTGACGAGCAGACGCTTTAACCATTAGGTTACCCCACCGCCCCACATATGACTACAAGTCCTAAACTTGTAGCAGGTACATTTATAAGACATTAATCGTTAACTCGTTAAAGGAAATTATGTAAGACAATACGTCTTTAACTCAGAGGGACGTATGTCAGACAATAGATGGTCCGAACTGACGAGGTTTCAATGCATACTATAAACCACATGCCTCTTTGCCTTCATTACCTTGAAAGCCATTGCTTTACCATACCATAGATCATACACAACCTCGTGCAACCATGTCAAATATCATGACTGGGGAGAACCCACCCCATCACGTTCATCTCTATGCCGGTCCACTTGTCTCTTACACACTGCTAGTCCGAAACATGTATTAGCATTTACGATTATAAATAATATTTTCTGATTACCTTACACGACGATCCAATGTAACACTTTTGCTTGACACATGTTATCGTATCTCAGTTGCGTAGATTGATGCTCATGCTGTTGATCACTGGATTGTCTGGTCCAGACTCGATTATTTACAGACCGCCGCCATGTAGCTGCAATATTGCGTTAAACAACAAACCAAACCAACCAACTTTTCCAAAAAATACGTTTTTATCTAAAAATGGTATGTACCTTTAAAAAATGTATACGAATACGCATGGAACACATCTCGATGACAACACAAGTTATATGTCCAGAGTTCGCGATGGTGATTGTAAAATTTGGGCCCTTATCGTGCGTTGTCAATAACATTTGTTTCGGGGAATCAAAATCAATATCGCATGTTAAGCAAACATTAAACTGTTTATGACTTAAAGGCCTATGCTATTTTTGTTTGTAGTCTTCCCACGCACATGGCGTTATGGCCAGGCTTACTTTTCAAGTGTTTAAAATATTATTTCTTATTTATTTTCAATGGTAGGAAGTGGGCGGTGCACTGACTGGAGGGGACATTACTTCAGGTATCCATAGGCCGGAGTTGGTTGGTTGGATGGTTTGTTGTTTAACGCCGCACTCACCCATATTCCAGCTAAATGGCGGCGGTCTGTAATTAATCGAGTCTGGACCAGACAATCCAGTGATCAACAGCATGACCATGGACCTACGCAATTGGGATACGATGACATGTGTCAACCAAGTCAGCGAGCATGACCACCCGATCCTGTAAGTCGCCTCTTACGACAAGTATGGGTTACTGAACACAAATTCTAACCCGGATCTTCACGGCACAACAAGCCAGAGCTTTGTCTTGGTAACAATGCCTGTGTACCGCTACGTTACGTGTGCGCCAAACGTGTCATTAGAGATGCGTTGCCACATTTAAGTTATATACCTGAGTTTTTCTCCCGGGACTCTAAAAGCAGTCATTACGGATGCGTTCCCACATGTAACTTATACACCAGAGATCTTTCCCCGGTACTGTCACAAAACCGCATCGACAATAGACACAACAGATAAATGTATTCAGTTTCCAAAATAAAATTTTATTCCCGTTGTTCTATTCACTAAATACACGATATGTTATAAAGAAAATATACTACATCTGATGAAAATACATAAAACATCATGAATAGCACATGTTATAGATGGGATAATCATAATATACCATTGACATGAAGCAACGTCCGCGAAGTCTAAAATGACAAAGATACTTTAAATATGTAACAGAGTTAGGTGGGAAAAAGACCAGTGAAGATCCGGGTTACAACTGATCTTTAGCTGGTTTAGACCTCAAATAACATGATTACACAATGCAATTTGGGGAAGTCGTGGTGGCTGAGCGGGTTAAGCGGCTGACTTTGTGTGTGTGGGTTCGAATCCCGGATGGGACTTAACCCCTCAAAAGTACTAGAATCTGTACTTTACCAAGGAAATGTAATCCCAAATGTAACTCAAATAACATACAAAAAAGTTAGGAAAAAGTTACTGGAAAACACGTGAGTGAGTGAGTTTAGTTTTATGCCGCACTCAGCAATATTCCAGCTATATTTCGGCGATCTATAAATAATCGAGTTTGGACCAGACAATCCGGTGATCAACAGCATGAGCATCAATCTACGCAATTGGGATACGATGACATGTGTCAACCAAGTCAGCGAGCCTGACCACCCGATCCACTAAGTCGCCTCTTACGACAAGTATTGATTACATAAGATACCGAGAACCAGTAACTATGAATTCCAACATGTGAGTGAGTGAAATGGGTTTTACGCAATATTCCACCAATATCACGGCGGGGAACACCAGAAACACACATTGTGCCCATGTGGGGAATCTAACCTGGGCCTTTGACGTGACAAGCGATCGCTTTAATCACTATGCTACCATACCGTCCCTCCAGCATGTGCACATAACGAAAAGTACTGAAAGGATGATATATATCAGATTTGCTAATAGCTATATCTTTTCATAAAGACCGATTTCTTATAAACATGATAAAACCGTATGGCTAAACACATACACGTAAATACATGCTCTGTAATCGTATCCCATGGTAAAAATCACTGGATTGTCTGGTCCAGACGCCATTTGTTTACAAACAACATCGTGCTACTGTAATACTGCTGAAACAAATATATACTCAAGATAAAGACACAATTGTACAAACGGCTCTGCTTTAAGCAGAGCTTTCTTATGGATGTGGAAAGGGTTTCGTCGTTTCTATGTGAGAAATTGTGTGAAAAAGTTGCTTTAAAGTAGAAACGTTGAAATATGTTTCACGTATCAAAGCCGTGTCAACACAGTCTAAAAGTGTGTGTCTCGTGGACAATCATCAACACACAAAGGCACCATGCGTCACACTTGCACTCTATCACACCACACTTCTCCAAAAATATATAATGTATTTCTCTAGATAATACTAACCATACTACTAAATCTCAGAGAAGCTACCACATAATGTATTCCCAAAAATTACGAATTTAGATTACAATATTAAATTAAAAAGTTCGAATGAATTAATGTAACGTTGCATTAAATCGACTCTCGCGCCCTCTACCGGCCGAAGATTATTTCATGTGAATCCTATAGAGTTATGTCCCTTGGAGCGCTCTTTACGAATATTCTAAAACTCCTTTGGAGACAGAACACAGTATTACCCAAAATGACGCTAATGTCTAGCAAAAAGCCTTACGCAGCGACAACACTGCGTGCGACAGTTTTCGATGTATGGAGCAATTGTTTACATTCCATACAGGGCAAGCGTTCTCTGTTTGGAAGCTGTTCGCCTCGAAAATTCAATTATCGATTTCAGGCAAGTCGTAGGGAATAATAAGTCTTGTATTTCATCCATGGGAAGTTAAAGTGAGTCCATATGCCCCAATATATATAATATAGACCAAAATATTGTAGATAATATGTGACATTGTGCCTTTAAGGTATCGGGGGAAAAGTCTTCTAAATGACTTGATGTTGGTACCATCCATACAATATCTTTTCCAGATTACTGGGAGGTTTAAATGACTTATTCAGTCTCACGTTTGCTGGAAGGTACAGTTGAATTACTATCCACATTGTCTGGTTCAGATTCGGCCCCGGTGCGCTTCCTAGTAAAGTCTCAGTTTTAGTGTCAACATCCAGAAGAACATCCCCGGAAGATGATCTGTCCAACAATATGGTAAGGTCAAATTTAGTAATATTCATTTTCAGTTTTGACCGATTTAAACTATTATACTGTGCCTCATACTTCCCGGAAGTGAAATCATAGAAGTAGGTGATGTTCCAGCCCATACGGTTGAAGTTTACAGTTGGCGTATCCGTCACTGCTACAGTGAAAAATTTATATTTCAACTTTATAGTTTCTGCCACATCAAAGGACGGATATTCAAACCAAGGAAACAAATTTATTAAATGCCTTGTCCCGGGAAGAATGCCTCTATCTACCATGCCCACATATGTCTCATTGACGTGGAGCCGGGTAGCAAGCTCAGGAATTATTGAAAGAGAACCCACGGAACTCCTACAGTTGTGTAGAGGTGCTTTCTTGAAGCATACGCCATCACCTGGAAATACATAAAATGCATTGTTTGACCAGGAACAAAATAAAGGGTTAGTTACTGCTTTGGGTTTTAAGCCGATTTTAACAATAATCCTTGACTCTAACAGCGGGAGACATAAATGATGGACGTCATACAGGGTTAGGGTTAGGGTGAGGGTGAGGGTGAGGGTAGTTAGGTTAGGGTTAGGGTTAGGGTTAGGGTTAGGGTTAGGGTTAGGGTTAGTAGTAATAGTAGTAGTAGTAGTAGTAGCAGTGGTAGTAATAGTAGTAGTAGCAGTAGTAGTAGTAGTAATAGTAGTAGTAGTAGTAACAGTAGTAGTAGTAGTAGTAGTAGTAGTAGTAGTAGTAGTAGTAGTAGAATATACGTTTTGATTCATGATATGGCCGACAAAGTATGGTAATATGAGTGAGTGATTTTAGTCTTACGGAACTTTTAGCAATAGTCCAGCAAGGGTGAAACATTGTACCCATGTGGGGAATTGAACCCGGGTCTTCGGCGTGACGAGTGAACGGCCCCCGGTAATGAGTAAGAATGGGGGGGTCCTTCATTTGTTTCAGTGGTATAAGGGTAATGCTATTTTTGAGGGCATTATCATTCAGATATTTTTTTTCATGAAACCAATTTCAGTACCTACATTTAGCCTTGGTCAATATCATATCATACGTGGATATAGGGTATACGTTTTTATTCTTTGAAAGTTTTTGATTGTTTGAATAAAAGTTACAAAAGAAATTGACACATTTAGAGTATCATACCATATTTTAAACCTTTACACAAGTGTTAGTAGCATAGCCATAACTGCAACATGTACTTTAGGTCCTATAGTATAAGGGTAATGCATTTTTGAGGGCATTATCATTTGCAAAAGCCCGAGGTCTTCCATTAAAAAGACCGAGGGTTTCTGCAAATGATAATTCCCTTCAAAAATAGCATTACCGTTATTATTGCTAAAATACATGGAATTTGTGTTGAAAAGAAAAAGGAAACAATGAAAGAATTTGACTGTAAGTTTACTCAAAACCAACTTCTGACGGGGTTGACTGACCGAATGCAATTAAGTCATCGAACAATTCAAGTGACGTCACAACAGAAAGTGACGATATTCGACCTTTGCCTTTGACAAGATCATAGCCTGCAACATGTCAAACTATGTCAGTGTTCGGTTTTGGTCCATCAACAAACTTAATAGTGCAATTGTTAAGGTTAGCACCAACAAGAAAGCCAATAGTACCGCTATTTAAAGCGGGAATTCGGGTTGCTTTAACTTGTTTCACCAAGAATATCTACCAGTCGAAAGCCAATTAATGTCGAATGAACCGTAAGCCCACGCACCCACAATGACGTCAGTTGACAACAGAACTGATAGTGGCCCGTCGTTAAGGTTGAGCGGTCCAATATCATTTGCAGCGGCCCGCAAATTTCTGATAATGGAAGGGCCGTTTCATGATAAATCCATGTATTTTAGCTATAATCAGGGAGACTATAGTTGTAGAGTATCCCTGCTATAATACATGTTAGCAAGCGTAGTATCACGATGCCAGGTCCGGTTTATGACCGCGTGTCACGTCAACCATCAACCTGATGGCATGGGCTGTTCTGACCAAATCATACAGTGGATTGTTTGGTCCAGATTCCATTACTTACAGTAAACATCCACAATACAGGGAGATTGTGTTGAATCGAACAAATAGTGTTGTTATTGAAACTCATACAACAGACGCTCTACATAATTGAAACTCATACAACAGACGCTCTACATTATTGAAACTGATACAACAGACGCTCTACATTATTGAAACTGATACAACAGACGCTCTACATAATTGAAACTGATACAACAGACGCTCTACATAACTGAAACCGATACAATAGAAGCTCTATATAATTGAAACTAATACAACAGACGCTCTACATAATTGAAACCGATACAACAGACGCTCTACATATTTGAAACTAATACAACAGACGCTCTACATTATTGAAACTGATACAACAGACGCTCTACATAATTGAAACTAATACAACAGACGATCTACATTATTGAAACTTATACAACAGACGATCTTCATAATTGAAACTTATACAACAGACGATCTACATAATTGAAACCGATACAACAGACGCTCTACATAATTGAAACTGATACAACAGACGCTCTACATTATTGAAACTGATACAACAGACGCTCTACATTATTGAAACTGATACAACAGACGCTCTACATAATTGAAACTCATACAACAGACGCTCTACATAACTGAAACCGATACAATAGAAGCTCTATATAATAGAAACTAATACAACAGACGCTCTACATAATTGAAACCGATACAACAGACGCTCTACATATTTGAAACTAATACAACAGACGCTCTACATTATTGAAACTGATACAACAGACGCTCTACATAATTGAAACTAATACAACAGACGATCTACATTATTGAAACTTATACAACAGACGATCTACATAATTGAAACTTATACAACAGACGATCTACATAATTGAAACTTATACAACAGACGCTCTACATAATTGAAACTGATACAACAGACGCTCTACATAATTGAAACTAATACAACAGGCGCTCTACATAATTGAAACTAATACAACAGACGCTCTACATAATTGAAACTAATACAACAGACGATCTACATTATTGAAACTCAAACAACAGACGCTCTACATAATTGACGCTGATACAACAGACGTTCTACATTATTGAAACTTATACAACAGACGCTCTGCATTATTGAAACTCATACAACAGACGCTCTACACAATTAAAACTGATATAACAGACGCTCTACACAATTGAAACTAATACAACAGGCGCTCTACATTATTGAAACTAATACAACAGGCGCTCTACATAATTGAAACTGATATAACAGACGCTCTACATATTTGAAACTAATACAACAGACGCTCTACATAATTGACACTGATACAACAGACGCTCTACATAATTGAAACGTATACAACAGACGCTCTGCATTATTGAAACTCATACAACAGACGCTCTACATAATTAAAACTGATATAACAGACGCTCTACATATTTGAAACTAATACAACAGACGCTGTACATTATTGAAACTAATACAACAGACGTTGTACATTATTGAAACTAATACAACAGACGCTCTACATATTTGAGACTAATACAACAGACGCTCTACATAATTGAAACTGAAACAGTTACATTAATGAAAAGAATGTATGGCAAACGGCATTGTCATTGTGGGTTCAGCTACATTACTCACGGATGATCGTGTCCTCAGGTGAAGCCGTATGATCTGAAATGTCGGTTGGTCATAATTTAGCACTGAACACAGTCTACATACAAACAATGAAGTGAGGTAATATTGGGTTGAGGGGGTCACCACTGAAGCGACGAGCATGCACTTGTGCCTGTGTGTGAATGGTGTCTTTGTTTTGTTTAATGCTTAACAACATTAAACTGCAAACAGCAGAAGACCCTCCTATGTGACAATTGTTCACTGGAGTGAGTGAGCGGCCTTAGTTTTACGCCGCATTCAGCAATATTCCAGCTATGTGGCTGCGCTCTGCAAATAATCGGGTCTGGACCAGACAATCCGGTGATCAATAGCATGATCATCGATCTACGCATCTTTATTTGTAGATGGGTGTGTAGACAATTGTTTTGAAGGATGACGGACAAATAAAGGAGTTTACATGCATCAACCAACTGTTAATTAAACAAACTTAACAAAGAAATAAAATAGCAATAGGCACCATACACATTCTTAATGTATGTCACTAAGGCTGGTAGTTTTGACAAAGCATTTTGTATATTTTCATAGTGAACTGGTACCTTCCAAACTTTGAATCGTTTTTCATTTATCCCTTTTCCCCCAGGATTTCTGAGAATGGGTCACCATCAACCAATGCTTGTTTGATTAAATGGTTTGGTGGGGATGACTAAGTAAAGACCAATTTTAACCCGAATCTTCTCGGGGTCGACAATAAGGAGCTGTACCAGACATTAACGTAGTAACACGTGCCCTGCATCACCCCGGGCTTTCCTCACACATCGCTGCACAGCTTGAATAATGGTCCAAGCGGAGTTAAACCCAACTCACTCACTCACTCACTCACTCACTCACTCACCGCATTCTGTATCCCAGAGTGGGAAAGAATATCATATTTTAGTCGTACTCTAAACAGTATCTACATGATAATACTGGCTATATGTTTTATATGGACGGCAACTGGGTGATATGCATGTCTGTCTCCCCACCGACCTTCTGTCTCACCTGGGAGGTGTACTTTCTGTCCTTTGGAGTTGACTAGGCAGAAGAGACGCTTGTAATGTTTAGATGCAATACATGTATGTCCCGTACGCATTGTCTGAAAAATAACATCAGTAGTAGTTGTAGTAGTAGTAGTAGTAGTAGTAGTAGTTGTAGAAGCAGTAGTAGCAGTAGCAGTAGTAGTAGTAGTTGTAGAAGTAGTAGTAGTTGTAGAAGTAGTAGTAGTAGTTGTTGTAGAAGTAGTAGTAGTAGTAGTAGTAGTAGTAGTAGTAGTAGTTATTGTAGAAGTAGTAGTAGTAATAGTAGTAGTAGTAATAGTAGTAGTAGTAGTAGTAGTGTTGTTGTAGAAGTAGTAGTAGTAGTAGTAGTTGTTGTAGAAGTAGTAGTAGTAGTAGTAGTAGTAGCAGCAGCAGCAGCAGCAGTAGTAGTAGCAGAAGTAGTGGTGGTTGCGAAGGCAGTAACAGCAGCAACACTTATAGTGGCATCAGCATTAATTGCTTTGACCATGGCGTCCATTTATGGTACAACCCAGGCTATGTAGAAGGCGTCAAAGAAAGTAATAATAATATAATGTTTTGGAAAAGGGCCATACAGATGTACAAAGCCAACAAACCTGACCTTGACCTTTCTTCCAAGACAAGGCAAATATGCGCTCCTCGTTATAAAAAGTCACCAAGCACCAAGTTGTCCGACTCCCCACTGTTCTTGATGCCTGAGGTTTGGTCCATTCTAATCTGTGGCTAACGCTGGGCAAAGGACCAGGGTGCCGTTCCACTAACCGATCTTAGCCCTACGCCAGTCGTAAACCCCTAAAATCCAAATCTTAGCGTGACGTTACCATCGGCATACCGTTCCATTAACCGATCTTACCCAAGCCAATCGTAAAGTAAAGATCCAAAGTCTAAGCTGCTCATGACCAACTTTGGATCACTAAACTTAATCGTAGGGAACCAAACTGGCTGCTTTCATTATTCTATGTGAAGATGAAGAGCGAGCATTACACTGTGAGCGTGTTTCTTTTAGACACATTATCTAGATACATTATCAGATGATGTGATTGTGCCAATCTTCTTCCGGAGAGAATCTTTAGATTTCTTTGTTACGCCTGGCCCGAAAGAGGCAGACAAAACGGAATGATGGTGGATCCTTCCGTCAACCAGAATTGCTATTTCCTCAGGAGAAAAATTGTTTTTTCTCGCTCGAGGTATCTTCTCCATGTTTACACTTTGTTCCAAAACTACTTCCATCGTCTGCTAGACTATACAAAGGGAGATGACTCGTGCCTCGCATTTTTCTATCTCTCGCACGATAGTCTCGATCTTCTCGTAGTATCGTAAGATCGGGACAGGCTACGATCGGCCTCAGATCGGTTAGTGGAACGGGCATAACTTTCAGATAAGACGATAGTAAAATTGGCGTAACTTGCTAAGATTGATCTTAGATACGATCGGTTATTGGAACGGCGCCCACAGCTGATGATGAGCCTTACAATGCACGATCATTACAATCCTCTTTGCTGAATGTAAATTATAAGAGGTTATATGGGTTCAGTTTTTTATGTGTGCTGCGGTGTGTTGTGTTCGTTTTCCATAGCCAAATAAACTAATGAGATCAAAGTTTCTTTCTATTCCTTGTTAGAGTACCTCAGGATTACTACTTTGGGATTGAGTACTTGTGTCTGTTTGGGGTGAGTGAGTGAGTTAGGTTCACGATGATTTTAGCAATATTCCAGCAATATCACGACGGGGACACAAAAATGAGCTTCACACATTGTGCCCATGTGGAGAATCGAACCCGGGCCTTCCATGCTTCAACCACTAGCCTACCCCGCCGCGCCTGCCTCTATTGGGCATAATGCAAGACACCAACTTAAAGTGATGCATTCTGGAATTATGTTATATTTGGTGTTTTGATGCAGTGGTGTTGAAGCTACCTGCACCTCGTACTGGCAAATGTCTGATCCTTTCACGTTCATTTAGAAACGTAAAAATCAAACCTCACATATACATCTAATATAGTACATCTAAGTATTATATTCGACAATATCGGAAAATTTAAGATAATCACCATGAATATGCTATTGCAAATACACCCAACATGTACGCACCTGTATGATGCTGCTTTGTGAGACGTCCATGATGTTGCCATCGGTATGTCTGTTGTCGAGCAGCGTACACGTCATCGTAGCTACGCTCATCTTGACACCGAAACAGCGGTTGTATCTCAGACATTGCACCATACAGAGGCGAATCCCCAGACGCTCCGGAATCACCAATGCACTTGCAACACATACAAGTGAAAGGTACCACGCAAGACCCGTTCTTCCAAGAAGTTGCTTCATGTCTTGTCTTGCCAACAAATTACAATGATATAAACTTTGTGTACAGTAGGGTGGCTTTAGCTTCGTAATAGATTAATCCTTGATGTGTCATGCATTCCTTTCATAATAAAATAGATATTAATCCTATCAAAAGCGAATATATTGATTGCCATTTGATGCAAACGCCAGCAACGATATTAACAAAAACGACGCCTGAGGAAACATGATACTCATTCACGTATCATTGATACAATGCCAGAACATCCTTGGAGGGTTTCAGCCATGGACGCTGGAAGTATTACTATCAAGTGACCTATTAAAAACTACTTACGTAGTACAACATAGGACACCTGATAACGAACGTGGGGTATCAAACTTCACACGGTCATTATAACCTGAAAATGACGAGTTCAGGGGCTCAGCGTTAAGTCGCTGTCGCACTATCAACGGGCACCTGAAATGACGGTGCAACTAGCATTGACTATAAGATACTTCTGTTGTCTGTCTCATGTAACAGATAACAGCAATAGGCACGTCCGTATTAAAGGGTGAATTCAAAACTATTAGAAAGACGTCAGGCAGTGAGAGAGAAAGCCTTTATAATATATCTACAAATATACTATTCGACAAGATAGGTGATATTCAACAAAAGGGTGTCACAACAATGGCCTTTTTAGCTATGTAAAAGGTACATCTGCCTATAAGTTCCATTAGTCGTTGAACGTCAGATAGATTTTGTAGTGACTAAGATTTCTAGTCACATCGGCTGTATTTCAGCCACATAGTGACTAAAACAAGTTATACATTCATGCCACACAACTCGAGAATATAAGGACCTCTTGAAGAACTACATCAACTAACCAGAAAATCACAGATGTAAAACCAGCATGTAAATATAAAATCATAGACATAGACAACATATAAAACGAGCTACAGAAAGTGAAAGTAGATCACCAGACTAGGACCATACGGTCTTACGGTAGGTTTGCTTCCTGCATGGACCCTACTTTTTTGTAGTGACACGTTAGCTCGCACCACAATGCCCGTCTTCTTTCAGCTTCCAACATGCCAACTGCATGTAGCCATTTCTGATGTGACAAGACATCACAAAAAAATGTTAAAGTTTAAAACAATATCAAAACAGCTTTCAGTCTGGTATTTTGTATTCATTTTTTCCTCTTAAATGTACGGAAACACAATGACACGTTTCATTAAAATTTCGAATTTTACCCGAACATGTTCACGGAGGCACCATTTAAAGTTACATCGAAAGAGAAAAAGGATATTCACAATAAAGAAGTTGACATCCATAAATCTTGCTTTTCTTATGCATTCCACTTCTAAATGCCCTTCAAAGGTCTAACATCGAACACAGACTGCATCGTAAGTTCGTCATATAAACAACTGTCGAATAATCGGGGTTTTTTGGTCAGTTATTAATTTTTGTTAGTGTGCCGAATTGTGATATACAAATTGTAGTTGACAGATTCATGAAGTACTAGTCGCTGTCTAAAAACAACTTCTGATGCTGCCGGCAGTTTGTTACATCTTACAAATGAAATATTATCCACAGCTATTTACCTCTTTCGTTTGTCGTTTAATAAATGCTTCGTGCAACACAAGGCAAACCATCGGCGAAACGTTTTGTCCTGAATCTCAGGTGACCTGAACTCACTTACTTGTTAGCCGAACATGCATAATGACCAAATCTGAGATACTAGAAACTGTTTACGCGATTAAAAAATATCAATAATAATACTATACTGCATTATAACACGGGGTACATGTCTCTGATGACTTTATGTTTAACCCACTCAGTTATTGCAATTTTCTCCTCGAGGTAGGCATGAGACAAATCTACTTCCATTCCTGACTACCCTTTAAGCAAGAACCCGCCAAGATCCGGGTTAGAATCTGTCTTTAGTATGGTTGTCGTAAGTGGCGACTAGGGTTCGGGACAAATGTCATGGTATCGCAAATGTGTAGTGATGTCGGTCACTGGATTGTCCGGTCACCGAAGTCTTGATCCTTGCAGATATAATGAAGGAAGTTTGATGGGGGCTGATGCATGGTGGGAATCACTGATCACAACCATGTTGAAAATTTGGAACGAGTCCAAAAAGTATTGGCATGCGAAGAGTTTTACGGACAACAAAGGTAGAGTGAGTGAGGGAGTTAAGTTTTACGCCGCACCCAGCAATATTCCAGCTGTAAATAATCGAGACTGCACTAGACAATCATGTGATCAACAGCATGAGCATCAATCTACGCAATAGGGATACGATGATATATGTCAACCAAGTCAGCAATACTGACAACCCGATCCCGTTAGTCGCCTCTTACGACAAGCATGGGTTACCGAAGAGCAATTCTAACCCGGATCTGCACAGGTGGGAATGAATAGGAGCGGCGAGTTTCAATTTGATGACCTGATGGAGTTGTATTTAATTCAGCGGAAATATGAACTGAAATGTTGCCTGAAGTTTATTTTCCTATTTTGATTATTTTTTGTTCTGTCTTGGTGTATTTGAGTTCAGTTTTGAGGATTTGTTCGCTGTTTGTATGGTAGGCCTGATGTACGACTCGCTGAGGATAGTGTAAGTGTTTGAGGCGGACAAAGGACCTTGATGTGATGCTCAGCCAGATTGATGTCCCAGTGCTTAATGTCGTCATGGTCTTTTCTCGTTTTTAGCATTGTGACATAAGGACTGGCTTGTGGTCCCAGTAGTGGTATATCATCTTTTACCTCGTTGAGGGCCTGGTGCAAAGGAATTCTTTGATTATGCATTCTAAAAGTTGAGGAGATGAAGAAGTTCATAAAAAGTGTCCTCATTCTGGTCCAAAGCAAGTTGAAGCAACTTTTCTTCCAGCTCTCAGCTGGTAGAAGACAGGGCTGCTCATATTACACAATAGGAACTCGTGCTTTTCAGTACGTTTCACCCAGAATATCAAACCTTGGCACACAGAATTTATATGAGGCAGATCTCTTCCACATTTAATATATGCTACAGCACCGAGGGTCTCAAATATTTCTTTCTTGAATGTCACTGGTAGAGCAAATAGGGAATGTCAAACAACAGAGAGTACCCCCACATCATATGGGTTTACAATGGAACCTTTAAAAGTATACGTTTATATCTTTTCTGTATGCTCTCTGAAGAGTGGGGGTAGTTCTACCTTGTAACAGCTGTATCATACAGTAAAACATGGTATCTGGTGACAGATCTAGATCTACTCAATATGAATTAAGTTTCACAACTGTTGTTCAATAAGTCATTAAGTCATTAGAACTGATACATAGATCCCACAGTTTGAATAGTTATTGATAGCAGTAATCGCGTGGGAGGAATTCTCACAAATCTGATTGCTTGTCATAGTGACATATGACCTCCCGACAGAGAACGCCCGCACCTGAAGTAACGGTGATCCGAATACCACGGCTCACTCATCTCTTCGGTATAGGTTGGATGGCACTTCGATCTGCAAGCATGGGATTTGGGAATTCTCTCAAGGGAAATCCATTCTCAAAATGCTAAAAAATAATGAACAAATAAAAATACAGTAAACAGTAGTATTTCCACTTGGTGTTTGAAATAAATTTAAAATGTATGCCTGACATTTTCGTAGCTAGAGCAAACGCTGCCGTGCTACAAAGTATGATGTCCGAAAACATATTGTCCAAAGATATATCGTTATGTATCGAGAGATAGAACATCATGTGCTACAATGTACGATGTCCGAAAACATATTGTCCAAAGATATATCGTTATGTATCGAGAGATAGAACACCATGTGCTACAATGTATGATGTCCGAAAACACATTGTCCAAAGATATATCGTTATGTATCGAGAGATAGAACATCATGTGCTACAATGTATGATGTCCGAAAACATATTGTCCAAAGATATATCGTTATGTATCGAGAGATAGAACACCATGTGCTACAATGTACGATGTCCGAAAACATATTGTCCAAAGATATATCGTTATGTATCGAGAGATAGAACACCATGTGCTACAATGTACGATGTCCGAAAACACATTGTCCAAAGATATATCGTTATGTATCGAGAGATAGAATATCATGTGCTACAATGTATGATGTCCGAAAACACATTGTCCAAAGATATATCGTTATGTATCGAGAGATAGAACATCATGTGCTACAATGTATGATGTCCGAAAATGATGTCCGAAAACACATTGTCCAAAGATATATCGTTATGTATCGAGAGATAGAACATCATGTGCTACAATGTATGATGTCAATGTATGATGTCCAAAACACATTGTCCAAAGATATATCGTTATGTATCGAGAGATAGAACATCATGTGCTACAATGTATGATGTCCGAAAACACATTGTCCAAAGATATATTGTTATGTATCGAGAGATAGAATATCATGTGCTACAATGTATGATGTCCGAAAACATATTGTCCAAAGATATATCGTTATGTATCGAGAGATAGAACATCATGTGCTACAATGTATGATGTCCGAAAACATATTGTCCAAAGATATATCGTTATGTATCGAGAGATAGAACATCATGTGCTACAATGTATGATGTCCGAAAACACAGTGTCCAAAGATATATCGTTATGTATCGAGAGATAGAATATCATGTGCTACAATGTATGATGTCCGAAAACACATTGTCCAAAGATATATCGTTATGTATCGAGATATAGAATATCATGTGCTACAATGTATGATGTCCGAAAACACATTGTCCAAAGATATATCGTTATGTATCGAGAGATAGAACATCATGTGCTACAATGTATGATGTCCGAAAACACAGTGTCCAAAGATATATTGTTATGTATCGAGAGATAGAACATCATGTGCTACAATGTATGATGTCCGAAAACACATTGTCCAAAGATATATCGTTATGTATCGAGATATAGAATATCATGTGCTACAATGTATGATGTCCGAAAACACATTGTCCAAAGATATATCG